AAGGCTGGCTATCACCAAATCCGGATGAAGGAGGAAGACATCCCTAAAACAACCTTCAGCACTCATGAGGGCCACTATGAGTATGTGGTCGTGCCGTTTGGGCTCACTAACGCTCCTTCCACCTTCAACTCGTTGATGAATGAGGTGTTGAAACCGTTTCTCCGTAAATTTGTGTTGGTTTTTTTTTATGATATTCTCATCTACAGCATCGACAGAACAGCACATGTGCAACACCTCACGACAGTATTTGAAGCCCTCCACAGCAATTGTTTGGTGGTTAATCGAAAGAAATGCTACTTTGCCTTGTCACAGGTAGAATACTTGGGACATCTGATCTCTTCGCAGGGAGTCTGTGCAGATCCCAAGAAGGTTGAAGCAATGCTACAGTGGCAAGTTCCAAAAAATCTTAAATCCCTAAGAGGTTTCTTAGGCCTCACAGGGTACTACCGTAAATTTGTACAAGATTATGGGAAGCTAGCCAAACCATTGACGGATCTTTTGAAAAAAGATAGGTTTCTGTGGAATGACCAAGCTCAATTCGCCTTTGACACTCTTAAAACAGCAATGACCACACTCCCCGTCCTTGCCTTACCTGATTTCAACAAACCTTTTCTGGTAGTCACTGATGCTTCTGGCCGTGGGGTAGGGGCAGCTCTTATGCAAGAGGGACGACCCGTCAGTTTCATTAGCCAGGACTTTTCTAAGAGAGCTCAAGAGAAGTCCATCTACGAAAAGGAGCTTATGGCAATCGTCTTTGCTGTTCAGAAATGGCGCCATTATCTACTGGGGCGGAGGTTCATCATCAAAACGGATCAGAAAAGTTTGAAATTTCTGATGGAACAACGAGTACTAGGGGAGGAACAACAGCATTGGGTTACCAAGTTATTGGGGTACGACTTTGAGATATAGTATCAGCCAGGGTGTGAGAATGTTGTGGCAGATGCACTCTCTCGTCAGGAGCAATTTTTCAGTTTGACTTGCGTGGTACCCGTGGGGGATGTAACCTTTGATGAAGAATTACAGGCTGGTGGGAAGTTGAGAGGCATTATGCAAGGCTTGCTTACTGACCCGAATTCACAGCCTCATTTCACATTAAGTGGGGGTCGTTTGCTGTTCAAGGGCAGGTTAGTGTTCTCAAGGCACTCTAAATTTATTCCTCTCATACTAGACGAATTTCATAACTCTTGTGTTGGGGGACATTCGGGTTTCCTTCGTACATATAAGAGAATTGCAGCATTGGTGTATTGGGAAGGAATGCGCAAATATATCCAAGATTTTGTGGCTACTTGCACGGTATGCCAACAAAATAAGAGCCAAAATCTTTCTCCAGCAGGCCTGTTGCAACCTTTGCCCATACCCACGCATGTTTGGGTGGATATTTCAATTGATTTCGTGGGTGGGTTGCCTAAAGCACCGGATACAATTTTTGTGGTGGTGGACCGTTTATCGAAATTTTGCACACTTTATTCCCCTTTCACACCCGTACACAGCAAAGGAGGTGGCCCTTGTTTTTATCAAAGAAGTGGTGCGACTCCATGGTTTTCAATCTTCTATTGTCAGTGATAGAGACAGAGTATTTTTAAGTTCTTTTTGGACAGAATTATTTAAGTGCACGGGTACTAAGCTGAAATTTAGCACGGCTTACCACCCTCAATCCAATGGCCAAACGGAAGTGGTAAATCGTTGCTTGGAGACTTATTTGAGATGCTTTTGTGGCCCCAAACCGAAGACATGGCCCTCTTGGTTACATTGGGCGGAATTTTGGTATAATACGACTTATAAGGATGCTACAGGGACGACCCCATTCAAGGTATTATATGGCTGTGATCCTCCTATACTGCTGCGTTCTTATTTTGCTATTTCACCAGTGGATGCTGTGTCAAAGCTGTTGCAAGATAGAGATGTCATACTTCATGATTTGCAACAACATTTAAGTGTGGCACAAAATAGAATGAAGTGCCAAGCTGATCAGCATAGAAGAGATATCGAGTTTCAGATTGATGACATGGTCTATTTGAAATTACAACCATATAGGCTCAAGTCTTTAGCTCGAAAGATCAATGAAAAACTAAGCCCCTGTTTTTATGGTCCTTTTAAGGTGTTGCAAAGAGTGGGAGCTGCAGCTTACAAGCTGGCCCTCCCTGTTGAGAGCAAGGTGCATCCGGTGTTCCATGTTTCGTTGCTGAAAAAGGCCATTGCTCCTTCTACGGTGGTTCAGCCATTGCCTGCAATGTTAGATGAAGATTGGGAACTACATGTGGAACCTGAGAAGGTGCTGAATTGGAGAACAACCTTGATGGGCAACACGGAAGTATTAGTCCAGTGGCATAATCTGCCTTCGTTTGAGAATTCATGGGAGGATGCTGCAAACCTCCATCAACAATTTCCAAATTTTCACCTTGAGGACAAGGTGAAAGTCTTGGGGGGGAGTATTGATTCGAAGGTGCTGAAGATATATGGAAGAAAACGTCTCAAAGGAAGAACAATAAAATAAAGCTGACGTGGCACAAGTATTCTAGAATATGGTCACGTTTTGGGAGGGTCAGTCAGTTAGGAAGTTGTAGTAGGAGGGTGAGGATAATTGTGACGTGTCAGGGTTGTTAGGATGAGTAATGAAAGTAGCACTCTAAGGTGAGAAGAACAGAATAGAAAAAGAAGAGAATGGGAGAGCCAGCACCTCTCGAATGTGCTGAGTAGAATTTATTTTTCTTGTCATTACTGTAATGTTTGCATTTTACATTCAATATATAAAAATCTAGAAGGAATCCTTTCTGGGCAAAAACTTGTTTGAGTTATTTTCATATTACATTGTACTGTGAGTAATAACCTATCACCATCAAATGTTCTAAATGGAGGAATGCAATTAAGAAAGAGTTGATAGCCCTCAACAAGAATAATACTTGGGACTTGGTTGACCTACCAGTTGGAAAGTCAATTGTTGGTTGTAAGTGGATATTTACTGTAAAATATAACTTGATGGTAGTGTTAACAGGTATAAAGCCAGGTTGGTTGCTAAGGGCTTCACACAAACTCATGGCATTGACTATTAAGAAACCTTTGCTCCTGTAGCAAAATTCAACACCATTAAAGTTCTCTTGTCAATCACGGTGAATTCAAATTGGCCTCTATACTAGATGGATGTAAAGAATGTCTTTTTAAATGGAGATCTAGAGGAGGAGGTTTACGTGGAAGTTCTGCAAGGAGTTGATATAAAAGGAAATTTGAACAAAGTGTGTAAACTCTGCAAGTCATTATATGGCCTAAAGTAGCCCCCCAAGGGACTAGTTTGAAAAGTTTACCACAGTTGTGAAGGGCCAAGGGTACTATCAATGTCAAAGTGATCACACTCTCTTCATCAAGCCTGGCCCAAATGCCCTAGTAACCATCTTGGTTGTGTATGTTGATGATATAGTTATCACAGGTAACCATCATAAGGAAATAAAAAGGTTGAAATTATCCCTTGCAAAGGAATTTGAGGTTAAAGATATATGCCAACTCAGGTATTTCTTGGGTATGGAAGTTGCAAGGAAGCAAGATGGCATCTCGGTAAAAAGTATACTCTTGACCTTCTAGAATAAACAGGTATGTTGGGGGGTAAGCCTGCTGAAACACCTATGGAAACCAATTACAAGATGGGACTAGCTCAAGAAGTCCTCCCGTAGATATCAGCAAATACCAAATATTGGTCGGAAAGATCATCTATATAAGCCATACTCGACCTGACATTTGCTTCCCTGTTAGTGTGGTTAGTCAGTTCATGAACAAACCAACAGAAGAGCACTTGGAAGTTGTGTACAGAATTCTGAAGTACTTGAAAAAAAGGTCGAGAAAAGGTCTAATACTTCTCCAAAAATTGCAATAGGAATGTGAGGTTTATTAAAAAAAGCCGAGAAAGGATCTATACTTCTCCAACTTTAATCGTCTATACTTCTCCACGCAGATTGGGCTGGATCAGTGATTGATAGAAGGTCCACCACCAGGTATTGCACCTTTGTATGGGGAAACTTGGTAACATGGAGGAGCAAGAAGCAACCTGTTGTTGTAAGGAGCAGTGCCAAAGCTGAATTCAGAGCCTAGCACTTGGAATTTGTGAAGGAATGTGGATACTAAGATTACTGAAGGAATTAAAACTCTATCACAACTCACCTATGCAAATCTTCTGTGACAACATGGCAACTATTGGCATAGTAAAAAATCCAATTCATCATGATAGGACTAAGCATGTGGAGATTGATAGACATTTTATCAAGGAAAAAATAGAAGCAAAAATCATTGCCTTACATCATGTGTCCTCCAATTTTCAAGTGGCTGATGTCCTAACCAAAGCGTTTCCAAAAGTCAAGTTTGAGGAGCTAAGTAGCAAGCTAGGCATGATCAACATATACAGCCCAGCTTGAGGGAGAGTGTTGATATTCAACTCTATTAGGGTCATAATTAATCTAATGTGATAGACATGCTTGGACATGCTGAAATGTCATAATTAATTTAATGTCATGTTTAGACATGCTTGCCAGCTGGCTGCCACTTTCCTATGCACTTCTCTAGGGAACTGAAATAATTTGTATTTAGCTTTCCTCTCTCCTCTGCGTCAGAGGTGTTTTTTAATATTTATTATTGTCTCTTTTTCTGTAGCACTAACTCTATTGGTTATTAGTTGGCAAGTTAGTTGTTATAGTATTAAATACTCATCTTGTATAAATATTCGTGTGTAAAGCTGAATAGTGAATATGAGAAGTGAAAAATACAGCCTTTTGTGTGCTATCTCTCTCTTTTTCTTAATTTCTTGTTCTAAGATTTCTTCACACACATATAAATGCTGGAAAAAAACTACTCAAAATTGAAGACATATTCATCATTAATAATCAAATGTCATAAAGTCATACTCTAAAAACACTACTTGAGGTTCGAAACTTGGAATTAACAAAAGTAATCAAAATTAAACAACTTGGAACAATTTCTGTCAAAGTCAGAGAATTTAGTGCTTGTTTAGGAATGCTTACTTTCCATATGTTTGTATCAAGATCCACCTCATGCTTGCCTGACAAATCAATGGCATCTACACTTAAAACTGGCCAAGACAAAGAAGACTGTTTAGAATCTTAATCATGGCAGAGTATAAGAATTCTGAATACATATCAAAACCAAACGAAATTTGTAGCAACTTCAAGCACATGAAAAGAACTTGCTAACCATCACAAGGTAAAGAAGGAAATGTCATGTTTATATGGATTGGAAGAGTTTCTCCACGCTTCAGGTCTACTGACATCTGCAAGATGAGTATAAGTGAAAGTTATTACCATATATAACTTATGCTAATGTACATATAGAACTCTTGTTATTGACATTAAACCATGAAGAACCAAGAGGTTGCACAACCCAACGTTTTCCAAATTATCAAAATTAGAAACAAAGGAAGGAAATGTAGCTTAGCGGATTGAAAATGAATAGGTAATTATCTTTAATAAGATCAGTAATTCGGTGGTGTGCTATGTATGTAGTGATTTCGTGCCTAATGTTGGAGAGAAATTCCAGAATTTTCAATAATTTCTTCTTGTTACCCCTTCTACGGGATAAAATGCTCTCCTTAGTTCTAACCTTCTATGCAGTGCTCCACTAGTGGCTAATTTAGATGAGTTCCTGTCTCAGATATATTAGAACTTAGAAGGTTGGCATACTTTGCACCCTTTATGTGATTTTGTACTTTCTTTTTCTTCATCCTTATCCTCTGCTCCTGGATTATTTTCTTTCTCTTCTCTAAATAATTTCTTTTCTAATAAAAAAAAACTATTATTAGATGAGTTTCTACCATCTTCTCCTAAATAGGTGCTACTCGAACTTTCCCTCAAATCTATTCATTTTGATTTGTTAAAAAATAAGGGATAATACAACACCAAATATATATATATATATATATATATATATATATATGTATGTATGTATATATATATGTATGTATGTATATATATATGTATGTATATTTTGTTTGATTGTTAAAATAGTGTAACTACTGGACAAAAAGTAATTCAACAGCACAAATCTCTCAATTTTTTTACCCACTAAACTAAGTTACAAAATCTTGTCCACAGTGCAAAACTTAGATAAAGACCTATAATCCCTACTCTTCATTAAGTTAATTATAATGCGTGTAAAACAGTACACAACACAAAAGATATTATAATAAATTTTGCGCTATTCTATTAATAAACATCACAAAAAATTTAATCCTTTGCATTAATCATCAAACACCTAAAAACACATTGTCCTATAACTCAACTACTTGTGATTGTGTTGTCCCTTAACGTACATCAATCGCAACCAAAAGGTTGTTGAGTGAAAGAAAGAACAAATTGAAGAGAACAAAATAGAATGCAGACCTGGTGGATAGTGTCAGTTGTAAGATAATAACCCAGCTCGTGCAGAAACAATGTCGCCATTATTATTAGACCAATTATCGAAACTGCAACCCATCAACCAAACACAAAAAATTAATAAATAAATAAATAAAAATGATGCAATATAAAAGAAAAAGAAGAAGAAGAAGATTACCAAGAGCCCCAGATTGAGTTTTCTGCATCAAATGGTCCTCGGCGCGTGGAAACGCGTCCAGATTCTTAATGACACTTTTCACACCCATATTAACCTTTTTTTGTGTTCAATCCTGTCCTGTCACACCAATTCACAAAGCAAGTGTTTTGAATCAGAAAAAACAATCAGTTAAAAACCGAACCTATTCGAATCGCAAAATCAATTGATGAAGAATTCTAATCAAAATGAAGGGGAACAGGATCGAACCAAAGCAGCTCGGGGAAACCCACCCTTCCCGGAAGGTGCTTTAGTCTTTTTTTTCTTTTTTCCCAAGTCCTCTCTTGTTTTGGTCTTCACACAATTAACAACCAACACCAATAAAAGCAAATAGCTTGAATTAAACTCAATTAATAATCATATGTTTAAAATCACAAAATTTAGGAATTTATTTATGAAGAATATTGAAAATATGATTAAAACAACTATTTAGTCATTAGGCATTAACATTGTGTTTGTCTGGAGATATAATTGTATCGAGAGAAATAAATACATGAATATCATGGGATAGAAAACGAATAATTTTTTATTTTAAATTTTAAATAAAAAATATTAATTTTAACTAAAATGACGATGTTTTAAAAGAATAAATATTTTTTCTTTACATCAAGAGAATAATCCAAATATAAAAAAGAATATAACAAAAGAATCAAGCAAATAATTTAGTGTATGGATGCAGTGAAAAACTATTTTTGAATAAAAAGTTATTTTCAATATATAATTAAAGGGGTTATACTTATCATATTGTACGAGAAGAGTAACTCTTCTGGCACGCAGATAGATTAGGTGGGTCCCACCATAAGAAAAAAAACATTTGGCACAAAAAAACGAATTGAGAGTGACATGAGAAGATGATTTTGCAATAATACGAGAACTCTTTTTGTCATAATTAAATAATTTTATTTTATTTATTGATAAATTATATTTCAATTAAATGTAACATTTTTTTAAGATCTTAATATATATATATATATATATATATATATATATATATATATATGGTCAGGATAATTTTTTTTTTTGGTGAATAAGTCAGGATAATTTTACATCAGTGTAAGTTACACTCTTAATTTTGATCATTGATCTTACTTATATCTAAGGGCTCTACTTTTTTAGTAATATGAGTCATTGGATACAAGTGGATTAATGATTAAGATTGAGTGTAAGACTTCTAACTCTTACACCGGTGTATTAATATCCTGTCTCATATATATATATATATATATATATATATATATATATATATATATATATATATATATCTTTGTCACGAGTGTCAAACTAAAACAATTGACATCAAACCTTAGCTGTTGATTTATGTTAATCTAATCGTTATAATTTACTAGGTCATGCGTATTAATTTATTAATTCCTAATAAATTATAAATGTTAGATTGACGCAAATCAACGATTAAATTTTAGTGTCAAACTCGTCAAAGGATCATATCTCATATATATATATATATACATGATAAAATCATTTCTACAGTGACGTGTATATGGTTATGATTCTCCACATTTAATGTTTTCATCCTTTGTATGGTTATGATTCTCCGCATTTAAAGCTTTCAATTATATATATGGCAAGTATTTGATTGCTGCACGTACAGCAGCTCCAGAAATATAAACCCCTATATATATATATAGGGATAGGTTATTCTGCTTACTCTTATTTTGCCTACCTCTTTCATCACCGTTCGATTATAGTCTAATTCAACGATCTATATTTGCGCTATAAAATAAACATTTTTTTCTCCCTTTCTTTCTTTTTCTCTCCTCCCACTACCTTTCTCTCTTCCTGGACGACAAAGTTATCAATACCATCATAGTACTTATCCTTGTGTTTCTGAGTTCCCAAATTGAGAACAGAACTACCGCAGAGAATGCACGACACAGTGTGATAAAAGTTTGATAATTACCACCATTCTTGCTCTACTCTGGGAAACAAATTGTTTGAAACGCTGTTGGTCTGTAAAATATGTAACAAATTGTTTTTAATTATAAATTGTTTGAATCATGGTACAAATTGTTTGAATCATAGAATGCAATGATATTTACAACTAAATGCAACAAGAATCTGTCAATCCATCTACCCAAAACTATGAAATTAGAAATCACGCAAAATTGTAAATGATCCCCAAAATTGTAAATGTACGTTGGTCTATTCGGGGTTGGCTAATTGTGTTTTTTATTATCGATCGTTAACCAAAATTCACAGCTACAAGCGCGGCAGACATCGGCGATGAAGGGCATAAAAATTTCAATTAGGTATAGTGTAAGAAGAGAGAAGGGGGAGGAGAGAGAAAGGAGATAAAAGGGTTTATTTTATTTTCAAATATGGATCGTTGGATTAGATTGTAATCCAACGATATTGAGAGGGGTAGGAAAAAGTAGGTAAAATAGGAGTAGGCACAATCTATGATGCACGGACACGGACACGGGACACGACACGACACACCGATACGTTAATTCTAAAAAATGTCATATTTGGACACGTTGGGACACGTTTAGATATTAAATAAAAAATTTAATATATATAATATGATTTATATTTAATACATATAAGAATCCATAATAAGTTATATAACCAATCAAATATTTAAATTTCATAACATAAATATAAATATAAATAATTTTTCATACTTTGTTAATTTTTAATGTCAAATTTCATAACAGAAAAAAATTAATTTATAAATTATTTTTTTTATATTTAGTTAACAAAATAAAATTAAGATTTAAAAAAATAAAAATATAATAAAAAAACGTGTCCGAGCGTGTCCCCAAATATTGACTGCGTGTCCCTAAATATTGACCACGTGTCAGAGAGTTGACCGCGTGTCCCCAAATGTTGACCGCGTGTCAGACGCGTGTCCGAGCGTGTCGGACACGTGTCCGACACGCAAATTTTACAAAATTTTGCGTGTTCGTGCAACGGAGGGCACAATAACCTATCCCATATATATATATATATATATATATATATATATATATATTATAAAAACGAATAAATTGTTATTAAAAATATTTAAATTATTAATGGTAAAATTATACATTACATAAAAATTGATATCATTATTAAAAAGTTATTAATTATTACATAAAAATAAAGAATTAATCAAACAAATGATATTAAAAAAATAATAGAAATATTTCTACCCAAAAAAAATAACAATAATAATAACATGCGAGTGATAGAGTACCTATGGATACCACCCAAATTTCCAACCTTCCCAGTAATAAATTAAATATAGTAAGTGTGTGATTGCATTATAATGAATTGTGAAATGAGCTTATTCAAGAATAGTCTCCTATAATCCTTCTATTTCAAGCACACCCAACGTAGCATCTAGCCACAAAATCCCTATATAATTCAACCCAAAACTTTGATACTTCCACCCTTTTTTACTTTTGTCATTATAAAGATAAGTATTCCCCTTTTGACAACGTCAAAAAGCATAAACCAAGTTAAGAATGCGAATTTTTGAGCAACATAACAAATAACCATTAAGCATGGTAATTAAGACCGCGTGTTATTTAGGAACAAAACAAAAATATCAAAGCAACCAACAATGATCCCCTTTAATTCATAAATGGTTTCAAAGACAAAACTATAGGAGTTTTAGGTTCATAAAATCTCAATTCTACCTTTTTAGCATATTCTCCCTCTTTCATCTTTATTTTTACCTTTTTTCAATATGTTAGGTAGAAGTGTGCTACATTTTCTTAATTGACACTTATTCTCCCCCTTAGGTAATACCAGAAGACATTAAGCAATTCATAATATATAGTAAATCATCATATATGGTTCAATATGGTCAAATACTCATTGGAAGCATAAATCAACCATAATATACATGTTATAATCATGAATTCAACATTCGATCCAACTTGATTAATCCACAAGTCAAAACTTCCAATATGAGCACATGATCCAAGTACATAGGCAGAATATCTTAGAGATCTAGGATATGCAACTGAGAACATATTGCAAAGCATCAAATCCTAGTTTACCATTGTTCATAGTTCTTTTATAAGCCAAGTGATTTTGGTATAAATGCTAGGCTCCTCTTTAAATTATGCATACCAGTAAAAAATATGTCATATGATTATACATGCATGTAAGATGTACACCTCGTATGCATTTGGTAATGTTATCATCAATAATGATATTAAGCGCAGTTACAATCACAACAGTTCATTTAAAAATTCAGAAAAACTTTTCTTTTATTATCATTTACAAAATCCTTATGTTTATAAAATGTACGTATTAAACATTTTTCAAACTATGGTCGTAACTCAAAACTATAGTGGAATCATAAACACTATTGTTTAACATCATACAATGTCTATTTAAAGTTGTTAGGTGGTTCCCATAAACCAACAAAGCTAAAATACACAATTTGACATTTTACAAACTTGAGATACACTCAGTTTTACCAAAACTACATATGGACTATTTACCTATAAGATTCCATCTTTTGATATGTTAAACTAGACTCTTCTAGATTTTTAACAGGTATCACACGCCTCAATTGGAGTTCTATAGGTCCAGATACGTTTGTCATAAGTTAATTCCTTAAAACTGTCAACATTGCACTATCGGGTTCACTAACATCCCTCATTGTTTCTGAAACTGCAAATGTTACAGTTATCTGCTTGCCACCAAATTTTAATATGTTCTATTAGATACCTCAAGCTTCAATTTGATATATCCTAAGCTTAATTTGGGTAAGAAATGAGAGAGATATGGATTTCACAAAAATGTAAACCGAAACTGTAAATACAACGCAGAAACAGGATAGTCTGCAATCAATCCAAAACTGGGCAGTTTCTACAACTTCAAATGATACCAAATTTTATGAAAAATATAAAGCATATAATGAGCTTCAAAATAAAGTATGGTATGCTTTAATTGAACCACTTTGGAGATAGATTTGGTCTATCAAAGTTAAGGTAAAATCACACTTTTTTTTCTAGAAAATTCTGCATAGTCTCATTTGTTTTTACAACTTTTACACCACTTTATACAAGTGTGCTCCATTTATCAAAAGAATACCTAATTGACCAAAAGGGTGGCATCCAAAGGATCAACATTCCTTGGTGCACTTATAACTCACAATATCCATCAATTCATATTATGTCTCTTTACTCAATTACCATTCTATCTCACATTATCAATTCCTTTCATTACCCTTTCATACATAATGTCCCATTTATCATTCATTATGATTATACATCATCAATATCTAAAATAGGCTTAAAGCCCTTCCATAACATACATCAACATTTACATACA